CACGTCTTCGTTTTTCTTTATACTTAAACACACATACTTTTGCTAATAGTTTTTGGATTTGTCAGAATGTTAAAGATGCGAGTGAGGGTGTTTATAATGTTACTAGTAGTGCCAATTGTTCTTGTTTTTGTATCTTTTCGATCATACTTGTTTGTATTTCAACCGATGCACTGTATCACTCGGTCAATTAACTGACGGCGGCCGCAGCTACTTTATAAAAATTTGAAAAAGCGGGTTTTTATGGTCATAATCGAACTGAGAATCCAAGAAAACCTATAGGAAGTTGTTTTTATCAGAACCCAAGTTTAAAATACTGCGATAAAACCCAGGTATACTTCATTTTTAAAAGTTGAATAACTCGTGAACCTTACATGGAACATTCTTCAAAGTTGTAGAGAATATAGGCCATGTCCCACTCTATAATAACAATCTTAAGCGGTTTTTCGAAAAAAGGGAGAACATGTTGTAAAATTCATCGCGGCGGTGATCAATTCGCATTGAGAGTGGCGCCAAATCCGATAATTCTGCTGGGAGAGTAAAAGTCATTTTTCTCGGGTTCTGCATCAGCTATGAAGCCAGAAAAAACAGTTTCTAACGTAATTTGATGTGCTCTATAAAACCAGATTGGTCTTAAATGAAGCGGAGAAAGTTGCCGTATTGATGGGACACTTCAGATGGATTTGCCCAGAAGTTATATATCTAATTAGAGTTATGTGGCGCCAAATTCACGTTTGTTGTTTGCTCTCAGATCTGTTTCTATCGCTATTGGCGGGAAAATGCTAATTAAAGCTTTTTCTCAAGAACTCATGCGAGAAACGGCACTTTTTTTTCGCATTATTTTTGAGGAACAGACTAGCTCGTTGTCTAATTTTAGGCAGCTATTTTTAATTTCTATTGATTAGCGCACAGAACCAGTCAGGCTCTATCCCGTTCGTATGATACTTTCAGTGTCGAAATAGTAAATTGACCACTACAAATTATTTCTTTTAAACATAAGTATATCAGGCAGAATGTACAAAGAGCAAAACATCTATAGCCTTGTTTAGGCGCCAAAACACTTTGATAAAAATCACAGCTAGTGTGGCGCTCTGTCAAAAACTGAAGATGGAATTACGAGAAGCCCGCTGTCGCATTCGCCGTAGAATTCTACATCTAGAACCGGCGTTTGGCCTCATTTGGTTCAGCGTGGAGCTTGCCGCTAATTTTCTAATGAAAGTCGAAAAAGTTCAAAAGATCCCACTGGTCCTGGCTCCAGCTGCGTATTGTACGTGGCATTTTAGAAGCATTTATCTTATCGTAAATAATGTAGAATTACTAGCATACTAAAATAAACGGATGTTATAGCGGTAGAAAACAATCACAAATGGAAACAGTCAGTTGAACCACTTTCTCGCATCTTTGCAACATTCAGTGGAACTCAAAAACAGCATCAGCTTAAAAATGTCGGAGCTATGGGCTACTTGCTATCCTTCTTTGAATGTTCCGCATCCATTTTGTGAAACTTCCAATGTTCTTTCTGACACGTCTTGTCGCAGTAGCTTATTTTTCGGCACACACATTTAGAGGGCGGTTTCGATTTTCCACAGTTGGCGCAAAGCTGCGTGGCCGTGAGATCGAGTGTCATTACCATGGGAGCCGTTAAGGGCGTTATCAAGGATCCGAGAATCAACTTTAGTGGATGATTCTCTTCGATTGGCTCGTGGCAAGGAAGACGCTGCTCCGGTGCATCGGCCATTTGAGCCAGCTTGACATGTCTGCGTGCCTCTTCGTGTTCTTTGCGAAACAAATGCAGTGTGGCGAGAATATAATGAGCCAAAGGCGCTTTTCGGTGGTCGGATGGGTTTAGATCGAGAAAGCGCTGGTATCCGGCAATGATATGCTTACTTTCATCCGTTGCGTGAGAGCGAACACGTATCTTCATGGCATTGACCTGCATTCGACGATCATGACGTTGTTTTATAGCGCTTACTTGTGTGTACAGCCAATCGAGAGTGAACTTGAGTTCGAGAGCACGTTTCACTGCTTGTTCAGCTTTCGTGTATTCGAGGGCGTACATGTAGGTACAAGCAAGCAAGTGCTGAAAGTCTGCTGCTAACGGATGCAGTTCGACACAATGTTGAAGAAAACGGAGGCTTTCGCTGTTGCTTCGTTGTTCTGTAGTGGCACTTGCAAACAGTGCGTCACTGTCTTGTGAATCGAGAGTGAGACGCAGTTGAGCCGCCTTGCCAAAGATTGGAAGACTGGGTAATGGATTGAAGGTAGCGTAGGCTTGTCGAAAAAGCGCGAGACCTTCGGCCAGTACGCCGTTCTCTACTTTTTCAAGTGCGTCCGACCACAGCTTCAGAGCGTCACAAATGTGCTTTGCCGTCACCGAACCGGACGCTAGTCGTTGCTCTATCGTATCATAAACGGTCGGATTGAGAAGCTCATACTTCCAAGACACATTTTTGTGAATGTCTGCAGGAAGGCTCCACCCGCTTGGCGAGAAAGGTAGGCACATGAGCAGGTCGAGTATGCTCGGCATATCGTTCCACACGTTCTTCGAGAGACATGTTGGTCATCGATAAATTCATTGATTTTTCATGTTCAAACACATTTTTTCCCCTTTTAATTATTTCATCCGGTTGAATATCCATCAGTTCGCTGTCATCGATGTTTGTTGATTCACCAATAACCACCTTCTTTAATCCCTGTATCGAGGCGCGTTTCAACCAGCGTCTGGCTGCATCTTCATTGCGTTCACATCCGTGTCCGAAAGCGTAGAGTTTGCCCAAGTAGAACTGAGCAAGAGAGTGTCCTTTTTCTGCCGCTCTTCTCATGAACTGGAAGCCTTCGCTGTTGCGCTTGAAATGCTGGAGCAACAGTTGGGCCAGAGCTAGCTCTGCATTCGCATGTTGTCCACTCTCGGCTGCTTTACGATAACATTGTTCCGCTCGTTCGTAATCTTGCGGGAAGTTGCCCTCACCGCGCGTGTAATTCGATCCGTGAAGAAAAAGAAGATTGGGATCATCAGTGTTTCGAAACAATGCTTCAGGTTTTCCTGTATTTCGTTCTAGTTCTTGCAGTTTGCGAAATGCATCAGGCTGACCCTGATCGGCAGCACGCCGATAGAAAATGAGCGCTGCGTCATATCAGTTAGTCCTCCGATGCCAAGTGTAAGAACATCTGCATAATTCTCTTCGGCCTCAGCGATACCTTGCTCTGCCGCTTTGGCATACCAAGCACGCGCCGAAACGTTATTCTTTTTCACTCCAGAGCCAGTTTTCAAGGCTGTTGCAAAATTATTTTGTCCCTCTGGACATCCGTGCTCGGCTGATTTGCGAAAATAGTGCGTCGCCTTTACCAAATCAATATCGACGCCAGCTCCATCGCGATATGTGACACCGAGTGAATTCTCCGCTTCAATGACACCTACATTTGGCTGAATGAGACCTTTCGGTCCTCCCACACGACAGAATGGCTTCTGGGAAGCAGCCGCTTCGCAATGCTGCTTACTACGAGCAAAATCACGCAAAAGGCCGCCATAGCCTTCGGCGTAGAATACAGACATGTTTTGGTGACCTTCTGCAGAATTCATCGCGGCTGCTTTCGAGCATAATTCGACAACATGTGCCTCAATGCCAGGCCGACCGCTTTGATAGAGCTTATGAGCATCTATCATTATCTTTTGAGCTGCTAGAAAAGTGATCGGATCGGAAATGTCCGCAATTTCGACTTGAGCCGGAGGATTGACTTGCTGATGGTGCATATTTTCCAGCAGCTGCTCAAGCGATTCATCTGGTTTTGTTGGTCGAGGATTGTTTTTCGCGTAATATTCCATGACCGCTATGGCGTTACAATCACGTTGACGCATGAGCAATGTAGGCTCTCGAGGATCCAGCTTGAGACCTTCGACACAGACAGCTTCCGCTTCCTTTTGAAGATTCAGACCAAGAAGAGCTTCGGATAGAACAAGATAATATTTGATTTGTTTTGGCTCGAGTTCCAAGGCATCTTCAGCATCTTGCCGTGCTAGATCATACTTGTGCAATCGAATTTCGCATAGAGCTCTGTTAGCATACAACACTGCTTCTTGCTGATTGAGTTGAAGCGCACGAGTGTAGAGAACCATCGCTTCAGTCCACTGGTTCTCGTTGAAACGCTCGTTGCCTTCTTCTTTGATCTTCAGCCAAGTGTCAGCGGAAGTCGCTACCACCAAAGTAATTTGTACACCCGTAAAAGCGCGAATCACATTTGCCACATCTTGTTCTTGAATGCACACGGCCAGCTTCGCCAGTGTCTCGAGTTTACGTTCATAGAGTGTGAAATCAAACCTCTGATGCGATACAGCATTTCGAATGGAAATAGCACGTTCAGCAAATCGCCGAAGCTCAGGAGTACAACCGTAAGGTCCAAGTAAATCTTTCCAGTGTCGATGAGCAACAAAGTACATCAGGCAAGAGAAGTCACCATTATTTACTTCGTTTTGAAGCTGTTGTTTGACGTTCAGTGGCATGCGCGATTTTGAAATGATGTCGACCAGAAAGATTGATAGGCGTTCATGAATGAGATGCATAGCTTCCTGCAGTTTGCCTGCCGCTTGCGCAGGTGACAACGACGAAGTAGTATTCCCCATCGACATTGTTACACTTTCTACTCACCTGCGAAAAAAGTCGAGTGAAATGTGAGTATTAAAGGTGAGCTGTTATTGTGAGAGATGTTTTGCTTTTCTTATCTGAAAACAGAAGCAAAGACGGAGAGATAAAGTGTGTGACGTGCGTGGCCGCGAAGTTTTTTCTCCAAGGTCTCTGCATCACTTAGATAGCCCAAAGTGTGCGGGTATTACCAAAATACGCTAACACCCACTAACACCCCCAGATTAAAGTACGAGATAGCCGGTCGATAGACCTGTTCCTTGTGAATAAACAAACATCGAAAAAATTTATCTCAGACAGGATTCTTTAGGGCTTTTCCGTTACGAACATCTACTAACGCCCACTAGCACCCAAAAAAAGTGACGAAAACACGCAAAATAATATGCCAGAATAATCGCCATCCTTTTCTGAGTCTATTAGATCACTTTCGAAGCCATAGGAAATCTGATGAGAGCAGAGGTGGTCGGACTACTGAATTTTGAGGTGTGATCCTCCTGTATAATGAAAAATAATTTTTTTCTCAATAAAAGTGATTCATAAAGTATAGCAGAAGAACGGCCGTGAAATTCTCTACAAAACTTCAGCCTCGAAATATATAACCCATTGTTCTTCAATTTTTTTATTAGCAGCGACCTTTTCTCTTTAGGGTATCCCAATCTCAAAGCTTCTACAGCATCTAAATTTATTACACAAAGCTTTTTTCTGAATGAAAAAATCTACTATATACAGAGAAAGCTGTTCTTCGTTGGATTAAAAACAAAATACGATTTTAATGAATTAAAAATAACAATAATGTATATGTTTAATAACTACATATCATTTGTTTCACCCTTATAAAAGTCTGATGGCTTTGATTGAACCTTTTCTAATGCAATTGAAAAATCTGAATGACGAATTCGGAGTTGTTCTGCTGAATCTTCACCGATATGTAATGTACCATGTTCAATAACATCTCTTCGAAGAGCGTTACTCACAGCTAACCGAACAAGCTTTTCAATATGTGCTCCTGTTAAACCGTGCGTACCAAAAAGTATTTGTTCTATATCAATATCAATATCATTATCAAGTAAATGATTTTGTAACATCGATTTTGTATAGATGTCAAAAATTTTCAGTCTGTCATTTTCAGTTGGTAGTTCAACTTTGATAAGTGTTTCAAGTCGTCCTGGTCGTGTAAGGACTGTATCAATAGTTTCTGGAAGATTAGTTGTACCTATTACCAATACATTATTTAATTGAGCAAATCCATCTGATTTAGTTAATAGTTGACTAGTGATATTATCTTGTACGGCATCTCTTGTGGAACTATTGATCGATGCCCGTTTTTTGCATAATGCGTCAATCTCGTCAAATATTATAATGTACTAGCGGGAGTACCCGACGGCGATCCGATATAACTTCTATGTTTAAAAATTTACATATTATCCAATGACAGGAGCAGTAGACAGCGATGTTCCCGAAAGTTCACTTTACATCATGCAAGCATATCCCGCTATGTAACTGAAAAACGGAGACTAAGCCACATCTTAATCATTTGCGGTTTCAGCGCTGCATCGGATTTCCTCGAAGCGGCAGAATCGACATTTCTTTTTGTATGGTAATCTCGAACATGAATGGAAACATAGGTTATCGACCACGCTGAATCTTGTGGCGATGTTTGTTTTCCGAAAAAACTCAATAGCCTACGGAAAACCAATATTAGATGAAATAGCCCATTTTTGTCTATTTTCGCCCAAAACAGAGGCTGAAAGAAAGAACGAAGCGGAGAATTTTGCGCATTCTGAAAAGGTTGTGTTTTTCAAAAAAAACGACTCCCTTCAAGTTTTTCGTATTTTTCGACCTGAAAACAGTACTTGCTAAGTGCTAAAAAGTAGTTTTTCGTGATCAGCAGTTCAAACTCTATCAAATGATGTAAAGAAAAGGCGAAAAAATGCCTGCGATCACGGATTCTTCTTCTAGTCTGCAGACTACGTGTTTGTGTATTCTGTCTTCCTCTCTTGCTAGAATGTGAGAGTTTTATTTAAGGGAAGCCCCCCCCACAGTGTGCATCTAGGCGGACGTTAGGTGAAAATATAAAAACTGACTTATGAACGGTTTAGACAGTGCACCATATACTTCAGACTACGAGCTATTTAATGGCGTTACAAGTTTTGTTACGAAGTT